ATGTAGGTGTGAAAGTGTAACATTAAACAAAAATAAATGTGCAGAAGAAGAAGAAGTTAGGCGATCTAGTATCACAGTGTTACAGAGATAAAGTCCTGCAGGACGTTTGTTGCCATGTAATCAGTCAACACACTCGAACTCTTCTTTACTCACAGCGACCTCATTTATGGGCAGTGGATGAATGAGTAAGACATAATATTATACTTTTTACAGAGATGGTGTTCCTATGTGACCATTCAAATGCACCTTGCTTTTCTATGTCTAAGAGCAACACTGCCACCTATTGATCACGAGTAAAAATGCATCTGTGGTGCACTAAGGTCAAGTGGTGCTGGAAAGCTTAGGCTTGATTTCTTCTTCTCCTCTTCACTCTAACACAAGCTAAACGACAGAGCACACAGCTCTCTGCTCCACAGAGCGAGTCTTGTGATCAAAGGAGGAATCAACAATAAAACTCTGCAGTGCACAAAACAAGAATCCAATCTGCAACTACACATGTAACAAATTCTATTTAATAATTATGTAAATATAATCAGAACAAAATTGAAATCATCTGACTTGTACTCTTATCAAAGACGTTGGAATTATACTGTCACATGTGAGCATGTCCAAAGATGTTTGCTGGTCTATTTTTTGCTTTTGAAAAATAAGATGGTTGTTATGGTTGCTACCCTCACCCCCTATGCAGCAGACAAAGGTAAGCACTCTGTAATGCAGCCTGCAGGAAGTAGCCCAGTTCAATATCACTGGGTGAGTGAAGTAAAATGGTTTTGGCTGACTTGATGTGGGGTGTTGTTACAACCTGAAAACACAGAGATAAAACAGACAAGATTATTAACCCCCTATGAAATTTAAAGTTTCTGTCAAAAGATTATTACAACAACTCAGTAAACAGTAAAATGGAGTAAAATGCCAAACCAAACACAGCCATAACAGGGTCACACACGCTCATGCTCTCACACGGGCATAAAAAGCCCACCTTATCGAGCTCCTGCAGGTAGGACAGAGCTGCGTCACAGGCCCTGAGGTAACAGGACAGGGACTCCTCCTCTCTCTCAGAAAGACGAACACGGGACACGGCAGACAGCGTCTGGTGATCCAGAGACAGACCTGAAACGCACGGAGAGAGACCGTGGCGTTTTTACGAGCACCTGCTCTCAGCGACTAACTAAGCAAACAAACTAACAAAAGCTACCATTAAAAATGTAACTGCTTTAGTTTTCAGCTGGTCAGGTTAAGCTGAAAATGTAATACAGGAGCTGTGGGTGACTGGAAGAGGTCAGTTTACCTGATAAAATCATTAGTATTACTAATAACAACATTTCAAACAGGGTTTTTCGAAATGTGGCAGCTAGGGGTAAATGTTGTGACGTATATGTGAAATACGGAGGCTGAGCCTCACAAAATAGACTGAAAGTGGCGATAATCAGACTTTACTGCTTCAACTGTTTGTCCATTCATTGTTACTCGGTCTGCACTTGCAATGCTCAGTTGCTCTGACAGACTTCACCGAGATAGATCTGAAAATACAAGTGAGTTTAGTCTGTTAAAATGAGACTCGGATGTGCGTTGGACAGCTCTGACAATATTTACTAGTCCCAGAGGATGAATCCTGATCTTAGATGATCCCATGACTTTTCCTCGAGCATCTCTCAAGGTTAGTATTTGTGATTTCAAGTGAAGTATCTCAGCAGTTCTTGGATGGAAAATCGGTACAAATGTTAGCGTCTCCTTCAGGATGAGCATCTAATAACTATGGTTATCCTGTCTGCATGGCCATTTTCAGTTATACAAACGAAGGCATCACCTTTAGGGCTTTGATTGTCTTCCTGTGGAGGGTTAGGGCTAGTTCCTTTCTGCATTTCTATGCTCATGAACATCCTTCCTGCCTACATTTTCCCCTAATCCCCCTTAGTCAGTCGTGGTAGATGGCTGGTTCACCCAGAGGTTTCTTCCTTTCTTCCATTTGGTTTTGTGGAGGGGCCTTCACCTTAAAATTTAAAGCTTTGTGCTGTATACATAAAAATTGAACTGAACACTGTCCTTTTGTTTTTGTTTGTTTGTTTTTTCTACTTATAATTGCATTTCTGATGCACAAGTACAGAAGCGGCCGTTAACAGGCTGGTGCCGTCCAGATGATGTCTGCTAGTGCACTTATTTGTACAAACAAGTGGGAGGGTGTGTGTGTGTGTGTGTGTGTGTGTGTGTGTGTGTGTGTGTGTGTGTGTGGGGGGGGGGGGGGGGGGGGGGGACTTCTCGAGACCGCAGGAGGCCTGTGACGGGCAGCAGTCTCAAGCCAGACGCCAAGCTAAATCAAATAAGGAGACGTCATCATCCAAGTATTCACATCTGACTTCATTTCCAAAGAAACCCTGGGAAAAGTGCAGGAAGGAGACAAGCAGCTCCCGGAGGATCTGATCTACGTTAAAAGTGTTTGCAAAGACAATCCTTCAGTGGGCTTCAAAGCAATCAAAAGAAATCTGACAGTTATTGCAACAAATTCTCTCCAGTTTGATGAGCGTGAGGTCACATCCGATCATCAGGAAAAAGGGAGTGTAGCCGCGTAATGATGATGATTATGATGAGTGAAACAAGATTATCCAGGCCTCCAGTGTAATGTTCTGTGAATGTGATCTGTGACCTTTAATGATGCTGGTATTCAGTGAGTCACATTAGAGCAAAAAAACCCAAAAAAAAACACTTAAGGCTGTATCTGACTGGAAAGAGCATATTTTTAAAATGACTCCAAAATAAAAAGTGATGGAGGGGGAGGGGGGCGTTCATGTTTGGGCTTGAGACAGCTTGTGATTGTGACTAACTGTAAATCCTCCCTTCACGTATGACTCATGATTGTTGTGCTTTTAAAAGAAGCATCTGTAGAAAAACGTGTCAAGACAAAGACCAGAGGTGGGAAATCAGCTTCCAGACGAGCTTTACGTTGTTAGCTTATTCCCAATCTGCTCCCTCGAGGTGTCTGCGGGACAGAACAGCGATGCATAGAAAGAAAATGCACCGCTTCATCAGGAGCTTTAAGGTTAAAACACAATAGTAGCTCCGTGCCCAATCAAGCTGATGTTTTCCAGTCGTGCAACGTTTGAATCCACAGTCTGGCCCGTCGCCTCCCTTCCATTTCCACTTCCAAACCCCATAAAAGGTCATTGTGATTTTAAGGCTGTAACAGCTCCTATCAGAGGGATTAGTTAAGGGATCATTAAGGAAATGTATGACGAGAGTAGTTCAACCTTGCTGCTGGTGTTTTTCAAGGAAACCTGCCAGTTCTTAGAGCTGCTTTTGCTTACTGAAGGTGCAGGCTGACAAGCAGGAGATGTGCTGTAAATGTAAACTGTGCAGCGGTGTAGCAGACATCCAGAAGCCATACTGAAACACTGTCAGCTGTGTTATGAAGTGCATTATATTTCATGTAGATAGGGTTAGAGTGGGACCACTGCACAGATGCGACATTGGTGGAACGTCCTGAAAACATTGAGATTGCAATATATAATGTATGCTTTCCACCTCGCAAGTATTCTTTAAAACCACCACGGGTCTGTCTCAGCACTCATACCTGGCAGTATTAACAAGCAGTCAAATTTCTCCTGCGTGACATTTTTATACTAACTGTGCCTCCAAGGATTTTAGAGGTTTATGGAGCTCACTGGGACAGGCTTCATTAATAAGGACATATCGTCACTCTTTCACACAAAGACTATGGGCACAGCCAGGCTCCAGTGACACTTACAATCAGTTGGCATTAAAATCACACATTCAGGAGTGGAGAGAGGAGTTCCTGGAGTTAGTGGAGCGTTAAAGTGTAGAGTCTACTGTTTGTAAGAGGAAAAAGTTTTAATGGCTTCTGTCAGGTATATTTTTAAGTAATGATCCTGTTTCTAAATTAAAAGAAATGTTATTGCTGCTGAGTGCGAAAAAATCAATTAAGGTCTAAAGAGATTTTATTATTATTACGTGTCCTTGGTAGCTAGCGGTCTTCTGCTGTCGGTGCGCTGCTGCCACCAGCTGTCAGTCAGTGACATAGTGTAGAACCAGTAGCACGGCTGCAGTTAGCGGTACACGCTGATCGGCCACAAGTCAAAATCACAGGAAGGTGAGGTGAATCACATGCACTCGCTGTCGCCTTACAGTGAAATGCATTGGGAAACCTCGTGTCCTTGGGTTCATATGCGTCGTTACTTAGACACATACCTAAATGCTTTTGAGGGGCATCTGCAGAATGAAGTGGAACACACCTGAGCTACCTGCCCTGTAACCCCCTCATCCCAAAGGAGCTACTGCCAACGTCCTTTAAAATTAAATAAAAATGATCAGGAAAACCTCAAGTCCTGGTCCAAACTAAGCTAGTTTCTCCCCCATGACATTTCCCACGAGCCCTCCTGCTTCCTGCTGTCCCCTCGTTGTCCTCTGGTGCTGGTGAGTGCGCCGTGTTGTCAGTGATTTTGCTTTTTCATCGACCTTTCAGCCTTGCAGCTTAAAAATAGCCACTACCGTGTGAGTACGAAGATTAAAGCTCACTCCTCTTAACTTAAATGCATTCAAGACACTGTAGGATTTTCTTTCTCTTTGGTGTACCTGCACAAAAGTGGATGTGCAAATCTCTTTCTTAATGCTGCCCATTGCAACGACTGTCGATCATGGCAGCTTAAAGAAACAAAGTCACGCAGTAGACAGCCATACAGGACAGGAAGTGCAGAAAGATTATGTAACCAACTATATTCAGTTAAAACTGAGCAGAGAGCATGCGCAGAAAACTACACACTCCCTACTGCACATGCAACAGATTGGATTCTCTGCAGTGTTTATCTTTGTTTTCTCTTCAAAATTAGTTTTTCTTTTCTTTGCTATCAAGAACCAACCAATTAAACTCTTAGAAATAGGAAAGAAAAACATTTTTTACCTTTAATCACGAACGCCTCAGCCAGCAGGCGGAGGTGGTAGGTCGGCTGGTCATCCTGCGTCAGCTCCTCCAGCCCCACCCTGGCACACATTCCCTGGGCGTCCCGGTAGCGTCCCTGCACGTAGTGCACTTTGGCCATCAGCAGCAGAGCCTCGTTCAAGTACCGGGGCTGCAGGACAGCAATATAAAGAAATGCTGAATAGGAAGAAGCCTCGGAAAAGGATGGAATTTATAGAAGCTGTCGGTGCTCTGTGAAACAATGGCTTTAGGGCTTTGTTTGATTAAATGAAGGAAGTCGTTTTTTAAAAAGCAGAGCAAAGTCTAAAACTCAGATGTCAGAAGTAAGTTAGATGAGACTAACTGTTAGACGGCCTCGGCTAAGGATGGTATTGAGGAGTCTTTTGGCCTTGCACAGTTTGGGCTGGGTTTTGTCCACCAAAGGTTTGGACCTGCGTAGCAGATCCATGTTTTCCAGCACGCACTCCTCCAGCAGCGCCTCGGCCATCAGCAGCGTCCCGTAATCATCTAAAGGAGGGGGGCGGTATCGAAAAGGTTCACCGTGAGCGGAGTATGCTGAAGGTCTGAGCTAAAGGTCACAGGTCATTTGTTTCTGTAGCCAAAGCAAACCTCCCTCAGTCCATTCAAAACAGCAATTCCCAGGGAGAGCAGTTTAAACATGCCTGAGTCCTTAAGTCTGTTTAGAAACTACAGTTTCCATTTCTCCTAATATTTTTCCTAAAGAACTTTAATCTCGGTATCAGCAGATAAACACTCCCATCCACCTACAGCGAATTAAAGTTTACATGTGTAGTAAAACAACCTGCTTCAGATGGAGCCTTGCACTCAGTTACAGTCCAGTAGTAAACCTCAGTGTCTGTGTACACACACACACTCGATTAAAGCTTTCCTGTTTGGCTTTTTCACCGTGCGTATGTGTGTTTACCACTGCCAGCTCTGCGCGCAGTGTTTATGCCCTGATATACTTGACATATTTGCAAGTTTGGTTTATCAGCACAGTCAAGGCTGAATATATCTGCGAGGGGAAGGTGGGGGCTAAACACCAGGACGTGTCTCAGCCCGTGGCCACATTAGGAGCAATGTAATAACTGCACCGTCAAGTTGGAGCCTAGACTTTGGCAAGAATCGGTGTTGTAAGGACTGAGATAAAAAACAAAAACATTCTGGTTTCACTTCAAGACTTATCAAGTAGAAAGATCAAATTTACTCTGTAGTTTGCTCACACTCAGTTCTCTTGAATATCATCATTGCTCTGATTATCTGATTTTCTCTATTTTCATTTTAGGAGCAGCCTTATCATTTCCTACTAATCACCTCCCCTTTAGTCAACAATTTCCTTGGATTTCAATAAACATTTGAACCTCCTGTGAATAGGATCAAAGCGTTTCTTGCTATTACTGATGAGCTTTACTTTGTTTGAAGCGTGAGTAATAATGCTGGTTTCAATATTTTCATAGTAGCACATGGATCTCTTTATGAAAGAGGTCACTCATAGTGATAAACACAAAGAAAGTTTGCTTTTTTAGTTCTAATTCCCGGATGTTTTCAACCCATTGCTTGTTCTTTTATGAAAGACTCACAGCATTGATTTGGTCTCTTCTGTTCCTACTTTGTCCCTGTCAGACATCTCCCTCTGGGAGCCAGCATTCTTTCTTGTTTTTATTTTATTTATTTATTTATTTTTGCTTAAAAAAAATAAAAAAAGGAAAAAAGAAGCTCATTCAAGATCGTTTGAAACACTGAAGTTACTAAATTACTTTTTTCATTGTGTTTTAGTGGAGGTAGTTGCAAATTATCAAACACTACTGGTTAGCTAAAGGTTAGCCCTATAGCTAGATATGCTAATATATGAAGATTATAAACTCAGGGTTTGCAGGGAGATAAAGTACAGCAACTAGCTATCCAGTTAGTTAATGTTAACATTAAGTGGAGGTAGTTGCAAATTTTCAAACACTACTGGTTAGCTGATGGTTAGCCCTGTAACCAGATATGCTAATAATATGCTAAGAGTGATTTAAGGCAGATAAAGTATAGCAACTAGCTAGCTAGTCAGTTAAAGTAGTAGAGCATTTGGTTGCTTAGTAGCCAAATAACCCCTTTAGAAGTCAGTGCAGACCAAAATGGAGTAACAGATAAGCACGCACTGCACTAACATTAAGGTGGACAGAAACACCACTCTAAATGTTTGCTAAGATGTTAGCTGTGCAGGCGTGCCTTCCACTCTGGTATGTCTGAAAGCCACCTGTTTTGTAAAATAACTTGTGTTCCTCTAAGCTAAACCTCTGTGGGTAAACAGCTTTCTAATTTGACCTGAGTACACACTTTCCAGCTTAGTTTATAACATCCAACATCCCTTTCCTCATTACACCCAGAATTTTTAAACCAAAACTGTAATGGTGAAAATGCTAATATTGAGGATTCAAAATTAGACTTCAGAAGCCTCACGTCCATGATTTTCTAACACTGGAAAATAACTCAAAATGTTAGAAATATTCCAGTGTTAGAAAAGCAGCACTGCTCAGTGTTAGCCATTGTTAATCTTCAAAACTGACTAGGTTACTTTTAAACATATAACACTGTCAAAAGTGTTAATTTAACACTCAACAGTGTTGTATTTAACACTCAGAGGTGTGGACCCATTTAGACACTCTCTAGTGTTAATTTAACACTGGAGATTTTGCTGTGAATAAACGAAACCAGACACTGTGTTACTATGAGGTCTGTTTTAGTAGCTGAAGAACACAATTTTTTTTGATTAAGGAAGAAATTGACATTTTTAAATTGAGATTGAAACATTAGATTAGTTAGAAGCAACATTTCAATGCTCTAATATGAAATAATTTCAGATGTACACAGATGAATATAATGCTACACTACAACTTTCTGGTAAAATGGAGACACCTTGTGGTGAAAGCTTTTATTACATTTATAAAGGGTTTTTACAAAAAGTAGCTTTAAGGATACGTGCGATACCTGTGGGGAATAAAATGAATGGTCACATAATGTTTTTTAAATTCACAAATAAAAATGAATAAATAAATACATTTACTACACAGTAGAATATACTGTACTTCCCGTATTTTACTAAAAGCTCCAAATGTTCGTCTGCCTTACACACCTTATCCAAGTAGCTATCCTAAAAGATCTGCTGTTTTTAAGTAGCGCATTACCCCCATCTGTTCTTTCTGTTTGAGTGAGATAAAATCAGACTGTTACATCTTCCTCACAACATCACCTACAGCAAACTCCCCAAAGAAAAACATTTGAAACTTGAAAGCAGAGTACACCACCTATTACTGCTTTTTTACAGTTTTACAGTTGGTTGGAAGTTTAACAGCTTATTGCTTTACTTGAAACAAAGTTCCTCTATCTCTAATCTAAAAAGAAAAACCGTTCCACACACAGTTCCTGACAGATCAGCTACAGTGTGAGTCATGCATGCTCACAGAAATACCACATTAATTTAACACATGAGCGCGTGTGCGAGCAAGGAGAAACTGCTGGTCTGCACTATCAGCCAGGACCTCAGCCCATATTTACTCTGCTAAGGTGAGGGTTGGAGGCAGGTGCATTAGTGAGCTACCAAATGAATGCTTTATGAGGAACAGAAACAATATGCGTGTTTGCATTTCTTTGAGCACGTGTACAGTGTCAAGTGATTTCAAGGGCAGAGGCAGGCAGCTAATAACCTGTTGGAAAAATCTTGTTTTGCATGCAGGCAATACTGCTCATCTTGCACGCAGAAGGCCACTCAGTTCCTTTAATTATTTATATACCCTTTCAGTGTGTCTACTGTAAACTTTCATTGAGGCCATCCTACTGCCCTGTGTGACCCTCTCTGCACATCACATTTATTGCTGTAATATCAACGCTTGAATAGATTTGCTTAGAAAAACTTCAACAAGCAGAAGCCAGTGTTGAGAGATCAAGGTCCAACCTGTGCGCAAAAAACACTGCAAAAAATGTCCATGCTTGATCAACACTCAGTGAGTGTTTTGTGCAAATAATTAGAACTAAAGCTGGTGGATATTGCTATAAATCCTCAGTATTTTTAATTGTTTAAGAGAATTTCTTACCGCTTCTCCCTGGGAAGCAGCTTCCCGAAACTTAAAAAACTTTTTTTTTTTACAGTGTACAGATCAATAAACAGTTAAAAAACAGCCAGGAAGTGACAACAGCCACCTGAACTTAAAAAAAAAACCCCAGGTGCATACCACCATCAACTCACCGTCTTCGTGGATCCGCGCAGCCTGCATCTGCTCAACTATCGCCGGCATCTTGTCCCACTGGCACTCGGCCCGGTAGCGCTCCAGCTCCGCTTCCAGCCGGGCCTGAGTGAAAGAAATCCGGGATGCCATCGCCGCTCTGTCCCGATGGTGACTGTACTCCCCGGACACGATGGGAGTAACTGCAGACTAGGACCAGGAGAAATAAATGTGTAATCACAGAGTGCGGAGGGAGGCTGGTGGAGGGTGGGGTGTGGGTTATTACGGGCACAGAAAGTCAACAGCAGCAAAGTCCAGAGAAATACATGCAGGCGTTAACATGGGTTTAATTGCTGTTACATTACACATCTGTAGGAAGCCCCAAGAACCCGCACACTCTGTTTGTGCAGGAACTATTGCTCGTGTTTATTATAACATTCACATTCCTGCTTTTCTGTCTAAAGCTTTTCCCCCTTCAACTTCAAATGAGTGTGGCATTTGGAGAGGACTTGATCTGTAGCTGTTTGAAGGGAAGGAAGTCCTCTTAAAACCCATGCCCCTAATCTCTTGCCGTCAACACTTTAACTGGATCAGGTAGAGCTTAAGAAACAGCAATGCAAAGAATGCTGCAGCAAAGTGGGCAACCCAGCCGAGGCAGGATATACAGTACAGACACATATTGTGGGTTGTTTTTTTTAATAAATGAGTGAAAAACAAAATCTGTTGTAAATCTTTGGTTCACTGACGCTGGATCAGTACATCTGACAGCTATTGCGCTGTGAGGTGTAATTGCGCTTTATCAAGCTCAAGCTCAGGAATGTGATGTAAAATATAATTTCAACTAAATGGGGGACGCTGGGGGGAATCACACAGTGAGCAGAAACCACAGCACAGGGTGCACATACAGAGGAAACGAGGGTCACTGACTACTCAGGATCTATCAGCTACTTTATGACATTAAAATAAAACCTCAAGCCTCCTGAACAGAGACTTAGCTGCTTCATTTTCTCTCTGGAAAGTTGACATTTGCTTGACATAAACGACGCTCGTCCCTCTTGTCGTGTCCACCACCCTGTGCCGTGCGGTGCTGACGGACCTCACAGCTGAGCGGCCACGCCCCCTGCTGACGTAGAGAACGTCTCAACTCAAAGTGACCCGATAAGATAGGTCCGCCACCAGGGGCGTGGCTTCGTTTGAGCATGCAAAAAGGGGGCTCTTTAAGTGGATGTGTGTATGTGTGTGTTCATGGATATTTAGAACTTTATGGTAGGAATACTTTTCCATATGTAAATATCTGGGACATATCATTGGATTCTCCAGGCCTCTCTGAACCCTGGTGGGAATTTTCGCCAACCCCAAATTCTAGAGTGGCTCCGTGGTTTGGTGGGTCACACAATTTGTTGTGAAGTTTGCTGGTTCTATTCAAGGAAGAGACAGACAAAGAAAAGCCCAACATCAGAGGGTCACAAGCTAGTGTATACTCCTTCAGCTGGTGTTGTGCCAAAAAAGAGAGTGTGTTTTTTATGGGTAACGTATTTTATTATGTTGGTAAAAAAGACTGTAGTCAACAGGATTTATGGAGGGGTTATATATGGAGAGGAAAGAAATGACATGTTTTGCTGGTATCTTTATGATCCAGCCTTATTGTAATTACATTATATTCAATCTAGTGCTTTTTGGCCACTTAAAATATCTCTTGAGAGCTATTACATTATATTTGTTGCAATTTCTGCTGCCCTCTTGGCCATATTCCTCTTTAGAAAATACATTTTTAATGTTGATGTGTCTTTTTAGCTGGATAAAGCAATAGTATATAAAACTCACTTTGCCAAAAACGGATTGCTGCTTTTACCTTCTGGTAGGAAAAGTTGCTTGTGGTTTAAAATGACTTTATATGATTCTTGACATAACCCTATTTGACAGGTTATTGGTCATTTATAAGAGTTTAAATACTGGAAATCACTTTTTTCTTGGCACAACACCAGTCCTTAGCTGGCAAAGGTTGTGTCAGGAAGTGAAACAATGTGGATCTTTTTCCCGTGGTGACCCCTGCATGCACATAGCACAACAGGAGAGGAATTGACGCTGTGCTGCTATTGGCTGAGATCACAAATGCTGTGTGGGATGGGAATAATTAGGTTGGCCTCAAAAGATTCACTGGTTCCATAAACTTGTCATTAAGCATATTCATATTTGAGATGTGAAAAACACCCAACATTAGAGAAAATATGCCTGCCTCTGTGACAGGAAATCTTTACTGAGATTTTTCTTTTAAATCCATCTATCGTTTAATGTTTTATTAGGGAAGACAACACTGACACATACAGTCTTGTGGGGGGGGGGGGGTACATTCTTACTGATTCTGAGGAACTAAAGAGATTCAAGACTAAACTGGAGATGTTTGGCCAAAAGCAAACACAGGATAAGAGCACAAACACCTCATAGTGTCATGCACAGTGGTGACGGTTTGGATCAAAGTCCAGATTGAAACTTAATTGAAAGGCTGTGCTGGGACCTTGGGAGAGCTGTGCATAAACGAATGCAACCAAAGACCAATGAACCAAATTCTTGATGCATGTTCAATCATCCAGGTAAATCCCAAAAGGTTGGAACTGACCTCACAGCTCTTCATTCAGTGGTCTGGTTTTAGTCATTGTGCAAATATAAGATTGGGGAAACCTGCAGTCAGCTGAGACTGAAGAAGTCACTTGGATGAGTGACGAAACGTTTCTCCCACTGAAAACGCTACGTCCAGATGAACAGAATCAACTTTTTGGGGCCAAAATTCCTCCACGATGATGAGAGAGGCTTGTAAAGTCATACAAAAACTAAAAGTTTACAAAAAACCTTCAAGTTATTACCGCTAAATGTGATTCAACAGCATGTCTGTCGCGTGAATTCGTAAATTCTGTCAAATGATCAAAACGCTAGTTCGTGACAACGGAAAGCACTAGAAATATATAAAATTATTCTATAAGGTTTAGTTTGAGCTTATTAATGTATAGCAATTGTACACTAATCTTACTGTAACCCACAACAAAATAATAAAACTAATTTTAGCTTTAGACAGAGAAAGACGAAGAATTCAGAATAACGTGGAGGGAATCATCTTGCCCCAGTTGAGCGCTCTCGGATAGCTGCAGCCAATCACAATGAGCTGTCGTGTCAAAGTGAAGCTACGGAAAGCCGCTCAGTCCGAGAAAGCTCGTATTGATCATTAAAGCAGCAAACTACGCACAACTGCACAACTGTTCGCGGATACAGGTGAAGATAGAAATTATTTAAACGTAAGTACATATACATCTTTTTTATTTCTTTACCAGTTACACCAAGTCATGACCCATGAAATTATGTTATTTCAGCGTAGCCCTGAGATGCAGCTTGTTGCTGTATTTATCTTATAATGGCTCTCAAGCTAACGGTCATACATCCCTCTTTTAATGTGGTTAAAAGAGAGTTAGCATAGCAGTGTAATCTCACAGTTTACTGCAGAAACATCCCTATTAGTGCGGTCCATGCACTGTGTGTGTCTGTGGTGTTTTTTGTTAAAATGGGCCATAAACACATGGTGCTTATTTGTAGCACCTTGCTGTTGTCTTATAGAGCCAGATATCAAACTTATAAAACAGGTGTGAATGTAGTTTGATCAGGAGAAACATGTTAATCGGCAAGAAGGACATTCAAATGTGTTGCTGGATGTAAGTGAGGTGCTAAACTGAGGACATTTGAGTAGTAAGAAGGTGATGTCCAACATAGATATTCAGGAGCTGTGTTCCTGAACTTGCTGACTCTCAGTCTTTGCCTTTCCGCAGCAGAATGAGGAGCAGCAGGTGTAGTGTGCAGTGGGGGGGTATGCTCCTCTTTTTGTCCTGCTGTTTTCTGTGCGCTCACGCTCAGATGAACCCAGACCACCACCATCAGCAGCAGATCGTAGAAAGTGCAGCCAGCCAACATCGCCTGGATAGAAACATGGTTCAAGACAAAGAGTGAGTGGCATGGCCGTGCACGACTCAGGACGAGGTGAACTTTGGGTTCTGTCTAATCAGTAGCTGTGTTTGTTTGTTGTTCCTCTGGTGGCAGCCACATCATGGAGCATTTAGAGGGCGTCATAGACAAACCAGAGAAAGACATGACGCCCCAGGAGCTCCAGCTGCACTATTTCAAAATGCACGATTACGATGGGAACAACCTGCTGGACGGGCTGGAGCTTGCAACAGCAATCTCACATGTACACAGAGAGGTGAGAATTCATGTGTGAGCACGTTTTTTTTGTCATAGTTGGCATTAAAAGGATACATAACGGTTACTTTCCCACTTTCTCATACCCTTCTTATTGTGGGATGGGACTGAGACATTTAAATGCTTTGTGTTTCAGAAAGTTGGGACAGGGGCATGTTTACCTATCTTTTAGCAGCACTCTGTAAATGTTAGCTTTGCTCTAGTGTTTTTTTTCTTTTAACCCCTGAACTGCAGACCCTGAACTGCATGTCTGCAGTTCAGGGTCTCTTCTCATCATAATATTTTTAAAATTTGTTTCATAACGCACCAGATGTTTCAGTGGGTGACAGGTCAGTACTGCAGGTGGTCTTTAAGCTCCAGGACTTCTTTATATGGGAGTCATGCTGTTGGAATATTTGCACAGTGTGTTAGGAATTGTCTTGCACAAATAAGGTCTTCTCACCAAAGGCACAACTTGCCACCAAGTTGCAATACACACAAAGGTCACAGCTAATCAGTACAGATTTTTGGCCTTGTCCCTTGTGCACCGAGACTTCTCTGAATCTTTTATTGACACCGTCTCCCATTAAGCCCGTTACTAGCTTTAATTAGCTGGTAGGTTTTGAGCCTCATCTTTGTTATCCCGCTAACCTTTTAAATGTTCAGGAAGGTGTCAGGAAGGGTGTGTGGGACAAAATCGGTGACAATGCGGATCCATCACCCCTTAGGAAACAAAGAATTCATGCAACGTGACACCAAAGCGATTAAAACAGTTTTTTTAGCTGACATGTTTTCTGCTCCTTTATTTCTGTGGCTGTGATTAAAAATATTGTTGTGACACATTTTTCGCCTCACGATTCCTGCGCACAGAAAGGTCCAATCGTTTTCGCTGCTCTGCTCGTCTCTGTTTAGGAGAGAGGAGAGAGCAGCCAGCCAATGAAAGAGGAGGAACTCATTGCTCTCATCGATGACGTTCTGAAGGACGATGACAAAAACAATGACGGCTACATAGATTACGCAGAGTTCGCCAAATCGCTGGAGTAGAGCGTCTTTCTGTTGCTTCCCGTCCACGACGACAGCGAGGATTCAGCAGAGAGGCTGGAGGGTGAGCGTACCTGCAGCCAAAACTGAGAAGCCGCACAACTTTTTAGAGGACCGTCTTTGATTTCTTTCTTGCAGATTATCGGTCAGGAGTATCGATCGTTCGTGAAACTTCTGACGGATGATTTTTCCAAGCTGAATCAGCAGTAATCTGATAAATGACAAAAAGGGTGGAACACAGGATGCCCTTTGTTTCAGTTTCAGTCTGGTGGAGTCTTCCACTTCATTAGGACCTTTTTTGTGTGTGTGTGTGTGTGTAGATGCCATTTCAAAGGGCCAGTTCACCTAAATTGGTATTTTTCTAGTTAATCCTTAACAGTATACTTTCAGATCTGAATCCCCTGTTTTTTGGAGCTGCATATGTGCAGCTGGGGAGTTTTAAGGCGGCCTCATTCACACACAAGCCCTGAACGACTGAAGGAGCAGTACTCTGAGTGTGTGGATTAAAAAAACAAAGGAACAGGAAGTGATTAAGGTACAACAAGCAGGTGGTTAACTGAGGCCTGGTTAACCGCCTGTAACTTCCGGTTTCCACAGTGAAGCTTGGACTTCACTATATTCTAAATACTGTATTCTAAGCAAAGCTGCCTTTGATTTTGGGTGAACTGATCCTTGACATGTACAAAAGCTTGGGTAGAGTGTTTTCTTTTAGTGGTGCTACACTTTGATTCTCTCTGGCAGCACAACAGTCTGTAAATAGAGTGTCCTCACATTAAAGGGGACCTGTTCTACTCATTTCCAGTTCTATATTTTTATTCTGGGACTTTCGAGAGTAGCTTTGTGTTATTCAGAGTTCAGAATATGCCTTATTGATCTTTGATTGGCCACTGCACAACCACATTAAGGATATCTGTTCTCATCGACATCATACTGAAAATAAAAAAAGGTAAGTGGAGCGTTTAGATCAGTCTGAAACCTGAGCTTTACTTTAATATACAGCCAAGAACATCCAACACTGTAAAAGTGTTTATATGACATGATGGGTCCCCTTTATGTGAAGTAGTTCTGCTTCAGACGGACACACTCATTTACAAGCACACTCATGCTGAACACAGCGGGCCAAATGGTTCCTCCTGTCAATCTGTTTAATTTGCTGTTTGTGTGAGGATGGTTCCCATGACAACAGAAAGTGACCTTGACTTGATCACAGTTTGATGTGAAGCCCGAGGCTGCAGGTTACAGTAGCAGAAATACTGTCTGTGTTTCAGTTGTGACACCTTCCCGATTAAAACGACAAAAAAATGAGCCGGCGTGATAATCGCAGAGTCAGCAGGAGCTCGACGCACACCTGTCCTCGCAGAGTGAATGTAAAGCAGCGGCGTGTTGCAGACTCTTCATCACTGGATAAGCTAGACTAAACGCACACTGCCGTTAGTTTTTAAAGCGGACTCTGTTTTACGGGCCTTCAGGAAAGGACTTGAACACAACACATTTGCTTCAGACTTTAGCTGCCTTTAAAACAGACGTGAGTATAATATGTCAGGTTAGGTCTGTTCAATTCATCTGTGATTTCTTCTGAAGTAGTTTTATTTTTTTGCCACACGTTGATGACTTCTCTATATTTTTGCCATCTAGTATTAACTCTTCGGTCAACTCAGGTTTTTCTGAGTGCAAATATTTAAAAAGCATAACAGATGCGACTGTGTTGTCTCTGTAATGTGAAATATTAAAAGAAGACTGTATTCTGCACACCTTTTTCATGTGGTGCTATCTGTGTTATTTGTTGTTGGTCACTTTTGGAAAAAGCAGATACGATAGAAGGATCGCCCTCTGCTGACCACTAGAAAGAATGCAGCTTGAAAGTGTTGTGCATTGGCTTCAATTATCAGATCCAGAAGGTATGTCCACAGTTTCTATGTAGGACATAATTATAATTATATCAGGACATAAAACTATTTATATAGACATACTGCGGGAACTCCACCTCCTTTAAGGGGACAACAAGCACGTCTTCATATCCTAAATAAATATTACATTTCATGTCAAAGCTGCAGGGGCAGCGAGGCTATTAAGGATTTGTGCGTGTGTGTGTGTGTACACATACACATGTTTAGACATCTTTGTGAGGACAGAAAATTGGCATGCTACTATACTTGTGGGGACAAAGTGCCCATCCACATGAGTTTGAAAACATTTTTCAGGCTCAAAATGTGGTTTTAGTGTTAAAGTTAGGTTATGGTTCGGTTTAGGCTGAGGGTTAGGGTTAGGCATTCATTTTTGATGGTTGGGGTAAGCGGCTGGGGCAGGGGTGGGCAACTCCAGGCCTCGAGGGCCGGTGTCCTGCAGGTTTTAGATCTCACCCTGGGTCAGCACACCTGAATCAAATGATTAGTTTGTGACCAGGCTTCTAGAGAACTACAAGACATATTATGGGGGTAATTTAGCCATTTGAATCAGCTCTGTTGGATCAAGGACACATCTAAAATCTGCAGGACACCGGCCCTCGAGGCCTGGAGTTGCCCACCCCTGGGCTAGGGAAAGCATTATGCCAATGAGATATTCTCACTAAGACAGGGGTCTCAAACTCCAGTCCTCGAGGGCCGGTGTCCTGCAACTTTTCCATGTGTCCCTGTTGCAACACACATGAATACAATTAGTAAGTCATTAGCAAGAGTATAGAACTTGACTGCATGCTGAAGTGGCAACCACTAACTCTACTTAAGTAAAATTAGGTAAATGTAAGTGTTTGGAAAAATGTACTTCTAAAAGTACTTTTATTGCACCATGTTCATTCACTCATGAGCTGCTGTAACATGAATCAAATGGCTGAACTGGCACCTAAGCATGCAGGCAAGTTCTATAGAGTCTTGCTAATGAATTGTATTCATGTGTGTTGCAACAGGGACACATGGAAAAGTTGCAGGACACCAGCCCTCGAGGACTGGAGTTTGTACCAAGAGAAGTCTATCACAAGGCTAACACAGAGAAACAGACAACCATTTACACCTATGGGTAATTTAGAATCACCTAACCCCACTAACTGTGTGTATTTAAACTGTGGGAAGAAGCCAGATTACCTGAATTTGTCAAATTCAAACAGGGATTTGAAAATCATTGCATTCTGTTTCTATTTACGGTTCACTTAACGTCCCAACTTTAGGTTGTAGTAATGTTACCTGTAGGTGTATTAGGGAACTATGAAAGCCATGGCATGAAGCTGAAAGGTTTATAAAATTAAAAACAAATTCTAGTGTGTGCTCCTTGAGCTAACCTTTTTTTGCAAAGTAAAAAAAAGTATCCTTAATGTTCAAAGAACCTTTTAATGCATTTCTATAAATCCAGTAGACATCAGTCGTTTCCAGCCAAGGGACTGGGGAAGCTCGGGTGTGGCTAAGAAAATACATTTTATTTTACAGACTAGCTGGAAAATTCAGCAGTGAGAGAGCAAACAGGATGTGTGTAACTGTGAAGATGAAAAAGAGGCTTCTTAGTATTCTGTGTGGAAACATCTGGTGCTTCTTAGCTCCAGTGAGAGGTGGGATCCAGAGGCGGCATGGAGGTGAGCGAGAACATGGGCGAGGTGAGGTTGCTCCTCAGCGAGCCGTACCAGTCATCATGCTGCCGCTGGGAGGTTGGCTGAGTGGAAGCGCCGGGACATGGGCACTGGCTACCTGGCCCCGGGTGGCGGGTGTATGCCCCTGAGGGCAACATGGAAGAGAGGCGAGGGATGTGGGGCAGGGGCTGGGGGTAGTACTGCCGAGACATGCCGGACGGCTGGATGTGCACGCCTCCCAGAAGCGCCCTGTGGCCTGGCATCACTCCCACTGGGAGAACCTTCTGCGAGGCCCTCTCCTGCTTACGCTGTTTGGCTCTCCTGTTCTGAAACCACACCTGCTGAGACAAGGATGGGTTAGTCGAGGCTTTTACATACAAAGCATGGTGGGTTCAGCAACAAATAGGGCCACCACTGAATTAGACTGAACCAAATCAGGATCATTGATCAGACTGTTGCACGCAGCATTCCTGCAACACAACTTTGGGACAAAAATCAGAGGCATTCATCCAACAATGATACGCCACAGAGGTCAGGGTCCCTTATATTTGTAACTGTCCCAGGTCCTCGCAAAGCAAAAGGTATCAGTGATTTGTTACTGATTTAGTGAGATAGAGAATGAACAAAAAGAGCTGAAGTAGAGGTGGGTTGCAAAGTGGCTTGCAGATGTAGACCAGCTCTTTTGTTGAACTGTTTTATTAGCAGTTTTGAGCATTTGTGCCTAAAACACCCCGCCCTGTTTCTTTTTTTAGAGTTGCACACCCCAACTCCTAAAAAGCCACAGTTGTCAGAGAGCTCTAACATGAAGACCATCCCACCTGTATGCGAGCCTCATTGAGTTTAGTGATTCGAGCCAGCTCCTCTCTGTAGTAGATGTCAGGATACTGATTTTGTCCAAACGCCACTTCCAGCTGCTCCAGCTGTTTGTGGCTGAAGGTGGTGCGGTGGCGTCTTCTGGCTGGGGAGGGGTATGCTCTGCTCCGTCTATTGAATCCTACAGCCACGGAGGTCTCGCACAATGTCCCCTTCCTCACCGACTCTCCTATATCTGTTTTCAGGGCGAGAAAAGAAAAGGGGAAGGGGTTGCGTGGATCCTTTTTTTTGTTTTCTTGTTTTTTAGGGAAAAATTTCCCAGGTCTTATTTCTTCACTTCCTCAACATGACACAAGAAATGCGGCCTTAACTGAAAAAGCAGCAATTCACCAATGACTGTCTCAAAAAAAGGAGGGATTACCCGACTTTCTGGTTCCCACTGGCATCAGGCAACCTGAGAGCCAGAGAGCTTTAGCTGGCAAACACAAGCTCGTGAGAAACAGACACCAGAAACTGGAGGATTTGTCCAAGATTATTACCACAATCACCAGCAAAGGGACTCATCTCCTTAAAATGAGTCGACTTGGTCTGCTGGTATCAGATGACATTATAAAACAGCTGGATGTCGAATGGCAGAGGCAATTATTATGATTACATGAGCAAACTTGGTAACTTGCGGGGGGGGGGATTGTGTCAGGAAGGGCAACCAGCGGGGGGAAAAAATCTGCCAAATCAAACATGCGGAGTTGCCCCGCTGTGAAAATCAGAGAAGCTGAAAGTAGGGAGGTTTTATATAACAGTTTATTTTTCTAAAGCTTTAAACTTTTATATCGTGTGTTCATCACTTTCCAACACTACTATACTCTGTTTATTAAAGAGTACGAGACCAACAAAGCATTGCAGCTGATTAAATAATCTATCAATGGTAAACATAGAAAAT